AGGAGAACTGCCCCACAGGGTTTCCTAGGCTGTCATCTATTGTGTCACTATATACTCATATATACTCTTATAGATCATCCACTCAGAGTGCCCCTGGTGTAATGGAGGAGAACTGCCCACAGGGTTTCCTAGGCTGTCATCTATTGTATCACTATATACTCATATATACTTTCATATATCATACACTCACAGCCCCACCTAGAGTTGCTGGATAGGTTTGAGTTGGTAACATTTGAGGTAGCCAGCAGCCAAGTACTTAATCAAAAAACCAAACCCATTGCAGTTGAGCGGACTAAGACTCATAATGACCTGTTTCCAAGTCTGTGATATTTACTGGTCTTTCTCCCTCCAAGTTGTTGGATGGATTCAAACCGTTCACGTTTCAGTGAGCAGCTGTGTGCCACCAGGACTGTTTCTGATGACAAGGAACAGACTGAGGACAGCACGTCTGCCGCCTGACTCTGAAGGTGTCTCACCATCCTACAGCTTTGTACTGAAACCACTGCTTCCACACTCTGGGACACAGTCTGTTCTAGCTAAGCATCTTAAGTGCACTCAGGATTGCGTTATTTTCAGTGTAGCCAAGATTCCCCCCCCCACACACAAGAGTTCACCCAAAGGCATATTATTCTTTCTAAGATACCAAAATTTTTACATCGGGGACAAATCAAATGTAGTCTCATCAGAGAACAGGCGGTGAGTAGCAGGAACCTGATGTAACCTGCTCTGTCCTTAAATCCCCTCCTGTTCTTGTCAGACTAGCTGGCTCCAGCTGAAGTGGTCTTCTTTCTAAGGTGCTCACTGAAGGTGCCCCAGGATGGGGGGGTGGGTGGGGGGCTGAGGACCTAGCATGGATTTCTACGATTTAGGAAAGCAGACTGGAGAAGCGATGTTGGTGTTGTCTTTTCGCCTTGCCAGATTCTCAGTGATTACTGGCTGAACCCCGCGGGGCGACTGAGACTCAGGACTGTCTGCGGTGCGTACAATTATCCCCATTAAAGCAAATCAAAGGTCTTAACATTTTGGCAGGCTCCTTGTTGTGGGCTTTGGATCACTCCTATGGCTGAGTTGACTACTAAGGAGGACAAAGGAGAGCTTTGTCCCTCAGATGGAATTGCTAAAGTGAAGATCCTGTTCACTGGCGGTGTATTTCTCTGGCTGTGTGCTGGGCCAGTCTAGAATACCTGTCCCACCTATGGGGCTATAGAAGCCCTGTTGGCACAGAGGTTAAGCGCTTGGTTGCTGACAGTAAGGTCGGCAGTTCAAACACACTCAGAAGCTTTGTGGGAGAAAGACTTGGCAGTCCGCTCCCAAGAAGATGACCAACTGCCTAGGGAATCCTATGGGGCCATTCTGCCCTGTTATGTGGGGTTTCTATGAGTTGAAATCCAGTTCATGACGCCCAACAACAAAACACTATACATAGATATGGATTCCATGTCAACACCACATTCCTTCTTCCCTAGTGACGTGTGTAAGAGGGCACCTGGTGTTTTGCAGGGCTGACAGCTGGGCCCCACGACCTGTGTCAGGACAGATCTTTGTGGATCTTCAGTTTATTGCAGTGAGTACGTCTGAAATGTATGCCAAGGATCATGGTTCCTTTCCCAGGTAACATTTCTTCCTACGATACTCTAAGCTGCAGTTGTGATTGTCACTGGGTGCCGTGGAGTTGTGCCAGGAAGCCCACAGGGGTTCCTAGGTTCATGTTTACAGGAGCAGGTCACCAGCTCTTCTTCCATGGAGTGGTTGAACTGCCAACTTTATCGTCTTCAGTCAGCCATTTATTCGCTGTGACAGCAGGGCTCCTATACCCACATAGTCCAGATGGGTATTCTAGCATCGATTTTCATGAAACTGGCCCAGTGCAAGAAACACACCTTCAGTAGACTTTAGAAATGCTATCTGAGGATCAGGAGTTCTGCTGTGGCTCTGTGGGATAAAGCACCGGACCTCAAGGTCAGCTTGAACCATGAGGTTGGCGGTTCAAGCTCACCAGCCATTCCTGGGAAACCCTATACGGGGTCACTAGAGTCAGAACCGATTCGACGGCACTCAGCAACAACAAAAAAATCTGGGGACAAACGAAAAGTACACTAGTAGTGAAGCAAACTCAGCCGTATAAATTATCCAAAGCCAAATCCACGGAGCCGTTGTTTGGATTCAAACCGCCAACCTTGTGGTTAGCTTAGCGCTTAACTGCTGCACCACCAGAGCCCCTCAGGCATGTCCTAGACAGAGGCTTTTCCTTCCGGCCAGGTGCCCAGGTGACAATGCCAAGGATGACCAGAAAGTGGAATGCACTTTGAGCAAGAAGTGAACTTGTGTTGCTTTAACTGTGACTTGGGGACAATTTGTCACAGCAGCATCAGCATCAGCATCAGCATAAGTTAGCTGTCACGGTGTCCACCCTGACTCCATGGATGAGCGACACCAGTGTAGACAGTTATGTCAACAACCACAAGGTCGGCAGTTCAAGCCCACCAGCTGCTCCTCGGGAACCCAATACAGGGTCACTATGGGTTGCAGTCGACTCGATGGCACTTAACAACAACAGTCGCAGTGCGTCTCTCTGCTGCCTGGCTTTCAGGGCACAGTGTGTGTGAAGGAGACAGTCTGTGCACGCTCATATCTCATCACGTGGGAACTTACGGGTGCACACACACGTACTGTCTCCCTCACACTCACACCCCAGAGAACCCAAAAGCCTGACTAAAGAGAATAAGAAATCTCTTCAGGCACACGATGACTTCTCAGCACTGCATTCCTAATGATACGAAAAAAAGAAAGAAAAATCCCCCCCCCCCCCATACACATGCACACACACAATCCTTGGCTATGAAAAAGAAAGCAGGGACTATATTGGTTCTACAGACCAGGTA